TACCGTTATTCGCGTGACACGCCTCTACCGTCATCCGTTTTCCAGGATGACATTCGGAGGGGCGATAGGTTAGAGTCCGAAAATCCCTTTGACGATTCTCGTTCTACAGAATCGCGGCAGGATACCCATAATCCATTTGATGATTCAAACACTGCGGAAGCAGTGGCTGAACCAGAGCCACCATACCACATCTTCTCGCAGAAGCAAAAGTGGTTCGTCATCGCCATTATTGGCGTCGCTGGACTATTTTCTGGACTGTCGTCCAACATCTTCTTCCCATCCTTGGATGCCATTGCAAAGGTAAATACACCCCTTATTTCCCGAATTGGCATATCCTCCTAACCATATCTAGGATCTCAATGTCAGCTTGAATATGGTCTCCTTGACCATCACATCCTACCTCATCATTCAAGGCATCTCTCCCCTGTTCTGGGGCTCAATTTCCGATGCGCTGGGCCGCCGTCCTATATACATCGCATCCTTTGCCGTCTATATTGTCGCCAACATCGCCCTCAGTTTCTCCCCGAACTTTGCGGTCCTTCTCATCTTCCGGGGACTTCAGGCAGCAGGCAGTGCCTCTACAGTGAGCATCGGTGAGTAGAAACTATACATTACCACTCTTCAATGCACAGGACAACTAACTACGATAGGTAACGGAGTCATTCAAGACATTACCCCACCGGCAGAGAGAGGAGCCTTTATCAGCTTCTACAGTTCTAGTACGTGAAACCCGTATCCGAGTCCTGTTGTATCCTTCATCCTAACGAGAAGTAGTCCGCAACTTTAGTATCGCCATCGGCCCCGTCCTCGGTGGTATTCTCAGCAACTTTTTCGGTTTCCGCTCCATCTTCATCTTCCTCCTCATTCTTTCATCGATTACCACACTCGTAATCATCGTTTTCCTCCCTGAAACAATGCGAACCATCGCTGGAAATGGAACACTACGTCTTCAAGGAGTCTACAAACCTTTGATCCAGAGATTCAGAAAGGAACCCGAGTATATGCAGGACCCGGAAGAGAGGACCCCGAAGAAAATAACCCTCGGCACATTTACCGAGCCACTGAAACTGCTCATTCAGAAGGACATACTCATCAACTTGATCTTCGGTGGAGTTGTCTATACCATCTGGAGCATGGTGACATCCAGCACGACTGGACTATTCAAAGAAAAGTTCAACCTCAGCGAGCTTCAAGTCGGCCTAGCATTTTTACCCAATGGTTAGTGAGCAAACCACACCCTTACGAATTGTCACCAGCTTTGTGATCCATTTGTCTAATACCAATACAGGTTTCGGCACGATTGTAGGCTCCTCCATCGCCGGCAAGTACTTGACAAAAGACTACCTTGCCACTGAATCGGCCTACAAAACAACTCATAAAATCACCTCCCCCCTCTCTTCAAAGTCCCTACCTGTCGATTTCCCCATTGAACACGCTCGCCTCCGTCGCCTGCCTCTCTTCACGTCAGTGTTCATTCTCTCGACATCAACCTACGGCCTCTCCCTCAGCACGCCCCTCACCAGCCTCCCAGGCTGGATTGCTGTCCCCCTTACCCTGCAATTCTTCATTGCAGCAACGAGCAATGGCATCTTCTCCCTCAACCAGACTCTAGTCTCTGATCTCTGTCCCGGCAAAGGCGCCAGCGCTTCGGCAATGAATAATCTTGTACGATGCAGTCTCGGCGCCGTCGGCGTAGCATTTATAGAGCCAATGCTTGCGGCGGTTGGTCCCGGAGCGACCTTTTTGGGCTTGGGTATGATAATTGTTGCGGTTGGACCGTTGGCAGTCGTCCATTGGTTCTGGGGCGCTCAGTGGAGGGTGGAGAGAACGACGGCGAAAATAGAGGACGAGAAGGAGAAAAGCGAGTCCGGTGCATCAAAGGTATAGACATTTGTTTGTGATTTAGAACGTGGTTATTAGACTTTTAGAGGAAATCTTTGTGCTTAGAGGCTTTTTACTTCATATTGCATCATCAGGTGTTGGTCACAATGGCAGGGTGCTTTCGCGGGTGGATGTAGCCAAATCCGTTGCTCATCGCCAACTTTCAGTTCCTCCAAAAGTATTAACAAGGACTATGACTGGTAAACCAATGTAAATACCAACTAGTTGGTTATCGCACGAACTCTACATTCGTCTTGGAAGACATTCAAGATGTGGCATACTCGTGAATAGCTACATCCTTTCACATTGCGAGTATCAGGGCGAGCGCACGCTCAGGCCTTCATGCTGAATAATTTAGCTGATGTTGTCGCTTGGCAATCCCTGTTGTTTGGCGTGTTTGGAGTACCCCGTTGTTTCAACTTGGCACGTTTCCGAGCTCGTATCTCCGAGACCGAGATGGCTATACATGAATTAACCCTGCTAGGAGTGTACACCTCCACCATTGAACCACCAGAGTTCCGGCCACGGAAAGGGAGGTGCCGGCTGCGACCCTGCTAATTGACGCCGTCACCAAACTGACTAAAGCAGTTTCGGACTTCATTGGTAGTTGCTTACGGAAATTGTCATTGCCGACGCCCGAAAGATGTGACAAGTTACATGGCCAGCGATAGTCTCGGCTTTAGAAGGTCGGCGTTCGCTTGTAGAGGGTTAATTGTTGGCCCCTGTGGACATGAAGCATCGGAGAAACAGGTGGCTTGGCATCCCGGTGTTCTGGAACGATGTTGTCATGAAACACCCCGCTTTCTCCCTTTCTCCAGAGGGATTTGGTCTATTTCCATACTCCGTTATGTCACAGCCTTCCATATTGGCTGCATAGGTACGAGATTCTGCGTTGGGAACTAGATGGCCCTGTTACTCTGAAGGGGCCTAAGGTATCAGCTACTGCATCCTCTTCGACTGCCAATCTGCACATATAATAACCGACACCGCTGAGGCAGGATGTAGGCTTAAATTATAACTCTAAGCTGTTAGCGACTCACTACAAGATACTCTCTTCTTTATCATTTTTCAAGGCCGCTCGGGGCATTTTCCTGCCATGTATTTGCAACTTCTTCGTCGCCATTTCGCGGCGTATGCTGTTCTCTGCCTTATTGGAATAACAGTCACCACTGCTCAAGAGGAGGATTTGGCGCAATTTGGCGACACCATTCAGGTTCTCGGCAAGGTAAGGCGATAAACTCCATCATCGGCTCTGCTGGCAGTACTAACAGTAGAATGAGATGGTAAGGACTGACCAGGACTTTGTCGATGGCCTGGCTCTGGATCTTTTCTCGCCAAGCAACCGTACGTTGGTTGTGACGAACAACACGTCGCCGCTGCCGGGTAATTTTGTCACTGGTAGCTCGGGTGAAGGCTTCATCAACCTCTCCAACTACAGCTGGATTATCAAGTTCAACGAGACAGCCAATGACCTTATTGCAAAAGTCGAGCTGCCATACGACCCAGTCTCTTTGGCAGAGCAGGGCGTTGCCGTAGGGAATACCTATGTCGGGACGCTATCCGCGGACAAGAAGTCGTGGGTTGTATCTGAATCGCAGAGAAACGTACATGTGTAATGCACACCCAGAGATGCCAGGCATTGATCTCCCCCCTGGCAGCACATACTAATGAGATCAATAGCACCGAGAACAAAACCCGCATTATCAAGATGACCTCCCTTGAAGGCGAGTTTATGCTTCTAGGCCGCAAGACTGAAGATATCACAAACATCTTTGTGCAATATGGTCAAGGGGCAACTCGGACGGTCAATGTTACAGGCGGCAATGCAACACAAGAAGCCGAGTTCGTCGACGGGCTACGTTTCAGTATCAGATCAGCAAAGCCATTTACTTTGAACGCGGATATTCCCTTTGGCGTGGATGATACGGCAATGCCGGCTGGTGCTGTACCTTTAAGTGTGTAATCCCGAACCAACTCGTCTCTGCATATCTTCGGCGTCAGAGCTAACTTCTTGAATCTATAGATTCGTTTGCATGGAGCATCAATACAACAACTCCTAGCGGGAACAACCTGGCTGTGGACATGCGAGTTCCCTGTAAGTCATTGTCGGCATAACCGTCATACAGAATTTTCCAATCCTTTGCTTGGACTAACACTTTGACTAGTCAATAGAGACATATTAGCAACAAAGGTTGCCGGGATGTCGTATGAGCGTCTCGTGGTCGCACGAAGGAAACCACAAGCGAACCAGACAGTAGCGTTTGAAGTCATGAAAGAGCAAGAAGTTCTCGAGACAGAGGACCGAATCAAGGTTACCGGCCTATCCGACATAGACGGAAAGTACATCCTTTTGGCTATGCGCGAGAAAAACCCCGAAGAAGGAGACGAATACGGCGGCGGCGAGAACACAGCACAAGGTAGCACCCCTCTGTATTCTAGTTTATGACCTTCTCATCGCAGCTAGCTAATACGTTGACAGAGACCAGTACGTTACCGGTCCAAAGACCAGGGTCTGTTTTACCAGAGCAAACAATGACAACTGGAAACGCCGGGGGGCAGATCCTGGCAACGACAACACGTGGAAATTTATCATCTGCAGCAACATCAGCTGTAATCCAAGATGCAACAACTCCTAGGAGTTCAGCTGGAATGTTAGCAGTGCCGATTTTGAAGGCTATTGGGTTAGTATGTATAGGAGTCTTGGTGCAGTAGCAGTCTTAGCTTTATTTGTTGTGTCCAGAGAAAATATTGTATCAATATATATGTATAACGAGGGTTACCCAAACGAACGCCAAACTTAGCTGGACCTACAGTTTGACCCTTGCACAAATATGACATGTAACCACTGTGCGTGATGTCATGCGTACGACTGGTGGCAAAAGCAGGTGCTGGGTACTATTTGAGCAGGTCGCTTGGTTAATAGGCTACAAACCACTTATAGACCTTATAAAGGCTTTAGTATGTAAAAGTAGGGCTTGTGTTAATTCCAGAACGTTTCAAGGCCCCTGTACTTTAAAGAAAGCCAGCTTAGCTTAATCCTTTTTAGGGCATACTAAAAAGATGAGGCAAACCACAAAAAATGGAATATTTAGTGTCAAGTGGAATCAAACCACTGAAATTGGACGAACAGGGAATCGAACCCTGGACCACTCCCAGATGTCTATAAGAATCATGCTAAGGGAGTATTATACCACTAAACCATTCGCCCGATTGATGGCAGGAGTGAGGGCCGGTTTCTGTACAAGCATCCGCATCACCGTGAACGCACAGGCACGAACATTGGGAATGGGTGAAAGAGGACTCTTTGCGATGACGCTCGCTCGGTTATCAATATCACCACTGGAGTAGTCTATCCCTAATTTCGGACTCTGCGGAGCCCTCACGGAGACTTTGAAGACCTCTAAACATCACCTAGAGAGTAGAGGGTGTCCGTCTACTGTGTCTCGGCTGCCTCAGAACCCAGGGTGTTATTAATGGCAACAGCAACAAACTAGATTGTGTTATTAGGCGTGGATATTTGGTCATTGTGGTAGCATTGGGTAGAAAATGCTTGAATTGTGGATAAAATTGTGTTTTTTTTTTACCTTGTGCCGGTAACTTGCTCACCTTGAGGGAGCAGACAGGACTTAGATTAGTCATTAGGCATGTCTTTCAACGCCTTTATCGTTAAGGTGGTCTGGTGCAACAACACTTGATCAGCCCGAGAGGTCAATATTTCTTTGGCCGCTGAAAGGCCCCCGAATGGTTAGGTGATGTGAGGATGGCTGTTCGAATAAACAGCTGCCTGGACCCTATCACAGTCTGACACACCATCTGGCAGTTTCCAGAAAGCGCAAACTACTCGAGTGGGAGACGACTTTTGTAATGGTGGTGACGACAAAATTTATAAAGCCTCCGGCCCATCCCCAATCAACGTGTGTGGTATCACTAGCATGTCAAGCACTCTTTACAGTCAATTCTTTTCAAGACCAAAATCGTGTTATTTATTTCCGCAAAGCGCCACATAATAAATCGACAAAATCCATTACCATATTGACAAAGCTGTTCCGGCAGTGTTGGTGTCAGTGGCTTTAGAATAGGTTTACTGGAGGTTTCTTATTTAAAACTAAGTGTTGTTGTTTCTCGATTCTCGCTGCAGGGTTGAATGGCGGATGACGTATGGATTTAATCCGACCTGTTCATGTCATACGGGCCGCGAGTACGCGTCTCCGGATAATATGCATGTCATTATCCGGCTAAAGGAAGTAGTATGTTCACGCTGGTAAGTATGACTGAAAACACGAACGTGCATGTCCTTGTACAATTTGGATTTCCTGAAATACCGTTCTCCATCCTTCTTGTCAATCTGATGCCAACCTTATCCCGCTCACGCTGGTGGTATGCGCGTATACACGACCATAGGTTTACCCGGTCCAGGACTGCGTTGCTCAATTTCAAACAGGTGCAACTTGCTAATCAAATGACCGAGCTTGTCGAAGCCGTAGGTCCGAGGATCGAATTCTGGATACTGTTTGGTCATAAGACCGCCGACTTTGGCAAGGTTGGCCCATCCCGTCTCATCCGAGGACGCCTCGATAGCCTTTTTCAAACGCTCTTTAACGACGCTGTCCATCTGAATCTTGGTAGATGGAGTGCGTTGGTGTAACTGGGGCGAAGTAAGGACACCTGCTCTGTCTTGCCTTTCGGGGAGAATATTCTCAATGTAGATGAACTTGTCGCAAGCTTTGACGAAAGGCTTCGGCGTTTTGCCTTCACCGAAGCCATAAACGACGAGGCCCGACTCGCGGATGCGGGCGGCCAGACGTGTGAAGTCACTGTCGCTGGATACGATGCAGAAGCCGTTGAAACGGTTTGTATAGAGGAGGTCCATTGCGTCGATGATCATGGCAGAGTCGGTGGCATTCTTGCCCTGGGTGTAGGGGAACTGCTGAACAGGCTGGATTGAATGCGTGAGGAGCTGTTCCTTCCAACCTGTCAAATTGGTGCCAGTCCAATCTCCATAAGCTCGTTTCACAAATGCCGTGCCGTATTTGGCGATCTCCTCAAGCAAGTGCGAGGCCGATTTTGGGGTGGCGTTGTCAGCGTCGATGAGAACAGCAAGCCTGGCCGTTGTCTCTGAAGACATTGTGAGTTATTATTTCAGTTGATGGTTCAATAACTGAGATAAAATCGCTCTTCATACGACTAATAAATAAGGGGAAGCGTACAGACGGAAATCAAAAATAATCAAATCAGGCTCCAAGCTGAGAGGTGCAAGATGGAGGGGAATTCTGCCTGAGCTTGATAAAGCGTCAGATGGTTGATTCGGGGTAAAATACTACGTCACCCCATGCACATTAGAGCGGCGATGGGGTATATAGGGTAGCCTCAGCTGAAGGCTATGTGTCCGCGGGCCGGGAAGCTATTACTAAATTACTACTGTATTATCTACGTACTGATCTATTGGTATGGCTATTCTTGGTATTATGTGATATATACAGATTCTATGTAATTACCTGTTATTTCCTAAGCTTCTGATCTCTTATTTTTATCTTTATACTATTCGGGGGAGACCTGTAGACTAGGTAATTATAATTAAATAGTATATCTAATATCAGACTCTTAAGTATTTTTATATAAGAGATAGCTATATAGCTTAAATTAGTCTAAAAGTTCTAGTAGAATAGATCTATAACTATTATATTTTTAGTAATATTTTGTAATTTATATATAGTAATTATATAGTATATAATTAGGAGAAACTGGATATAAGTATAGAGAGTAGCTCTAATAAGAAAGTCCCTCTTTACTAGAAGAATTAGTATAATCTTCCTGCTATTAGTAGTAATTAGGAATACCAGTCTGCTATATTTATTAAACTCTATTATAATAATATAGGGAGGGTTTTAGATAGGGTTGGCTTTAGGTATCTAGCTGATATTATAAATTATACTGTAAGTGCTATTACAGAGGCTAACTGGCTGTTAAAAGTTGAATATTAGTATTAGATAGGAGCTAATATATATTAGGATCTACTTTATAAGATTGTCTATCTTATTATTAGGCATAATAGCTATACCAGGGCTAATATTCTTAGCTATAATCTAGATAACTGGCTAGCTAAGGCAGTTAAGATAATAGTAGTTATATTTATTTACCCTATCTTTAGTAGTATATACTTATAAGGTATTAATAAATCTTATAACCTCTTAATTATCTAGTTTTACCTATATATAGCTAGAAAGGAGCTTCTAGAATTCTACAGATAGTTAAAGCAGCTATAATTCTCTAAGAGCTAGGCGGAATACCTCCTGATTGTTACTATACTGCTACTAGATAACTTTTAAGAAGACTAATTTATTAAATTGCCTATATATATTTCTGCTCTTAATTTCTACTCTCTAAATCTTTTTATTATAATAAAGTAGCTTTTATAGTATAGAAAGAAGCTAAAAGAAGTTACTAACTAATAGGATATTCAGGCTGCTAAAGAACTCTTTATTCTTATTTGGGAATACCTCTTAAAGACGGTTATTAATCTAAGATAGCTAATACAGTCCCAGTATACTCTTCTTATTAATAATCAGATACTTAATATCTTTAAGCTTTTTCTAGAGCTGGGTTTTATTAATAGCTAAGAGAGGCTTAAAGTTCTTATTAATTGGGAGGTATAATAGGGAGTATAAGATAGTACCTAATATCTAGTTTCTTGCGATACCTGTAGGCGCGGCATACCAGATAGGTATCCCTCTCCTGCCTGTTACAGCTTAAAGGTATATAGAGAGCAGGTTAATAAGATATAACTTGCCAGTACTGCCTCTGCTATTTATATAGAGTAATAACTAGAAGGGATCCTGGGTTAGAAAGTGGCCTATTACTATATTATATACTAGATGCTACTCTAGATTTAGGGAATTATAAGCTTCTAAGGGCTGATAGTCTATATTAAGATTCTAGGGGTTTTCTGCTTTATATTGCTTCTAGTAGTTGCTATTAAGAATACTATTATTAGTATACTATTTAATATAAGGGGTCTAATTATAATTAATATTAATATCTTGGCGGCTGAGGATATTAATATCCTCTTTCTCTAGCAGGCAGTTAGGTAGTATATAGGTAAGTTTATACTAATCCTCCTCTGTAATAGGCTTTTTATAGGCTTTAAGCTTAAATTTATTATCTTCTGCTATTAATTTATCTATATCTAGCTTTTTATAATAATTATTAGTATAGGTATTATAGAGCTGTCTGCAGTATATATACCTGGCTGTAAAAGAATTAAACTGCTGGCTATTTATAATAAGTAACTCTTTTAAAAAGTAATATAGATAAATTATTATTAATTTAATATAATAGAAGTTATTAAACTGAGAAGAGGCTTCTATAGATTTATATTAAGAAAAGTAAGATAGGACCCTCTTTTTTATATAAGTAGCAAGTCTCCTCTATATATTAAGATTATATAACTGCAGGTATTTAAGATATATTATATTTTTATACTAGTTCTTTTTTTTTAGATATTTCCTATAGCTGCTAATAGCCTTATTAATATCTCTATTTATATAATATAAATATACCTATTACTCTAATAGATAGCAGTTTATAGTAATAACTATATAGATACCTTCTTATAGTAGAATATTAAGTAGCAGATAGAAAATCTCCTGTACTGAGTAATCTCTTTTAGTAATTAGCTTATTTATAAGGTAAGAGGAGAAGAATAACAGGGGCTGAATATATAATATATAAGATAAGACCTGGTTTATAAGCTAGAAGAAAGACTTAGTCTTCTTCTTAGCTTTACTATAATACTTTGCAGTATATATAATAACTGCCTGTAAGCTGGTGTAAGAAGATATATTAATATTGGCTAGCTAGTCTAGGATAATTATAGGGTTAAAGTTATTTATAAGGCTGTTATTTCGGGCTGTTTTAAAGATATAGTATAACCGGCCTTTCTTTCTAATTACTGCAGCTAGCTCCTATAAGATATAAGGGAAGTTAAAATAATACTTCCTCTCTGAATTAGTAATATTAGCCGCCTTGATATCTGTAGTAGCGCCCTTTATATCCCTTATAATATTACTGGTTTTCTTCCTTATATATAAGCAGTATATAATATTATACTTATAGTACTGGTAATAGTTAATAATTTATAAGAGCTATAGGAATATTATCTCTATATTTAGGGGATTTATACTTAGTAGATTATTCTTATTCTAAGGTATA